GCCTTCAGTTGGCCAAAGTTGGCCCTCTTATTTATTTTATTTATTTATTAAAACATTTCTATGCCACCCCTAGCCGAAGCCTCGGGGCGGCTCACAACATACAATGAAATGCACAATAAATTAAAACAATAACAATTAAAATATATATATTAGAATAAAATAAGCCACCCTGGCCAAATAAAATTTCCATGGTATTAACATTTAAAATGCTGCTTAAATAAAAAGGTCTTCACCTGGCGCCGAAAAGCAAATAACGACGGTGCCAGGCGGACCTCTCTGGGGAGCGCATTCCATAACTTAGGCACCACCGCTGAGAAAGCCCTCCTCCAAGTAACCACCCTCCTAATTTCCTTCACTGAGGGCTCCCGGAGGAGGGCCTCTTCCGCTGATCTCAGGGGGCGGCTGGGCATATATGGATGTAAGCGCTCCTTCTGGTAACCAGGACCCAAGCCGTTTAGGGCTTTATAGGTCATCACCAACACCTTGAATTGGGCCTGGACTTCAATGGGGGGCCAGTGAAGCTGACGGAGAACTGGAGTCATGTGAACATAATGTCCAGTCCCCGTCAGCAGCCTGGCAGCTCTATTTTGAACCAATTGAAGTATCCGGACCGTCTTCAAGGGTAGCCCCACGTAGAGCGCGTTACAGAAGTCAAGACGGGAAGTCACCAGTGCATGAGTCACTGTTGCGAGCCAGTCGTACTCCAGATAGGGGCGCAGCTGATGAATCAGCCGAAGCTGTAGGAAAGTGCTGCTCGCCACTGCTGTTACCTGAGCTTCAAGTGAAAGCTCCGGGTCGAGGAGCACTCCCAAGCTGTGGACCTTATCCCTAAGAGGGAGTGCAACCCCATTCAGGACAAGGTTCAATTCACCTTCTCCAAAGCCTAAACCGCCTACCAACAGGACCTCCGTCTTGTCTGGATTGAGCTTCAGTTTATTGGCCCCCATCCAGCCCATTACCTCGGCCAGGCACCGGTTCAGTACAGCCACTGCCTCACCTGGATTGGTGGAAAACGAGAGGGAGAGCTGGGTATCATCAGCGTACTGATGATTCCGCAGCCCACACCTCCTGATGACCTCTCCCAGCGGTTTCATGTAGATGTTGAACAGCAAAGGGGACAAAATGGACCCCTGCGGTACTCTATGGCATAGCTGCCATGGCGCAGAGCCATAGTCCCCCAGCACCACCTTCTGGAATCGGCCATTGAGATAGGAGTGGAACCACTGCAAAGCAGTGCCTCCGACTCCCAATCCCGCAAGCCTATCCAGAAGGATACCATGGTCGATGGTATCGAAAGCCGCTGAGAGGTCCAGGAGAACCAACAGGGACGCACTCCCCCTGTCCTTCTCCCTGCACAGGTCATCGTACAGGGCGACCAAGGCAGCTTCAGACCCGGGTA